AAGTTGTCCCCTAGGGCTGCATTCATCTAAAGGCTTATGGGGGAGAATCCATTTCCGGGCTCACTCACATGGTTGTTAGCAAGATTCAGTTCCTCATGGATTCTTGGACTAAGGACCCCAGTGCCATACTTGGTTCTGAACAGAAGCTTCCCTCAGTTCTCTGCCACACAAGGCAACTCACAACATGGCAGCTGGGTTCCACCAGAGTCAGCAGGCAAGAGAGTGAGTGAGGATGAACAAGATGGAAGACACCATCTCTTTGTAACCTAATCTCTGAAGTGACATCCCATCACTTTTGCCACCCATTCCTTAGAAGCGAATCACTAGGTTCAGCCCACACCCTAGGGGAGAGGATTACACAAGGGCACAAACACCAGAAGGTAGGGATCATTGGAGGCCATTTTAGAGGCTGCCTACTATAGTTCCTATAAGCACCTCAATCTCAGCAAGTCCAAATCGCAGTTATCTTCCCCTCAAACTTAGTATTTCCTATTGCCTAAGAAAATGGCAGTGCCATTTACTAAGAGCTAAATCCAGAAACGGAGGCACCATCTTTGACTTCTCCTACTTCAGTATCTCCTTCTCTCCATCCCCTGCCCTCCTACTTCAGTATCTCCTTCTCTCCATCCCCTGCCCCCCAATACCATCCAAATAATCATCAAATTGTACCAACTATATTGCTCAAGTTTCTCTGGAATCTGCCTTATTTCAATTTCTGCCCCAACCCTAGCAAAAACTATCATCTTTCATTGGACTACTTCCATAGACTCCCATGTGGTCTCCTCACTTCCAGTCTTGACTTCATTGAATCCACTAACCACACTGCAGTCTGAGGAAAAAAAAAACGAAGAGGAAAAAAAAAAGGAAAATCCAAATGTCGCACTCCTCTACTTAAAACTTGTATTAGTAGGCGCCATTTCTCAGTAAGCAAACCAGGACAGCACAGAGCTGGACTTGGGATAAAAGGATCTAGGGACTATAATATATATTTTTTTTAAACCTTTTTTTTTTTACATTATTTATTTATTTATTTATTTCCCCCAAAGCCCCAGTAGATAGTTGTATGTCATAGCTGCACATCCTTCTAGTTGCTGTACGTGGGATGCGGCCTCAGCATGGCCGGAGAAGCAGTGCGTCGGTGCGTGCCCGGGATCTGAACCCTGGCTGCCAGCATCGGAGCGCGAGCACTTAACTGCTAAGCCATGGGGCCGGCCTGGACCATAATATTTAATCTTAATGCTGAGAGGCTTTCTCTGTACAAAATAAGACGGCCATGGGCAACCTTGGACTTACATCCCAACAGTTCTTCCAGAGAAAAAAAGCTGCCACTATCTCTAGTTAGAAAAGCCCTAAGGATGGACTTATATTGGCTAGATTTGAGTCACATGTTCATCACTGTGGCCAGGAGGATAGAAACTACAAATAATTCTACCCAGGTCATGTGAGTACCTCTGTGGTTGGACAAATGCAGTCTGTTACTAGAAGGACAGAAGAGCAAAAATCTGGAGAATGACAACTGCCACATCAAAACTCTTCAAGACCTTTTATTCCCTTAAAGGCAATCGTGATCAGTCCCCTGCTTCTAGCTTCATCTCTTCCCATTTTTCCATTGCTTCAGCTATCCTTGAATGCCTTCCAGTTGATAGAACATAGTTGTTTTTTGCTGCTTGGTCTTCCCACATATTATTTCCTTTGTCTAAAATACTCTTCCCTCTTTCCCCTTCCACTTTTTCACTTGGCTACCCTTTGTCTTTCAGGTATCTACCTAAATGTTACTTCCTCAGGGGGACCTCCCTAAGACCTAGAGTTCCCATAACGTCCCATACTCTCTCCATTATAATACTCAGTTAGGCCTTGTTAGGACTATTTACTTAATCATCTGATGTTCCTGCTATATAGTAAGCTCTCTGAGGACAGGGACTGAGTCTGCCTTGTTCATTGTGAAACCCTAGGGCCCAACAGCACATTTGGCATTTGTAAGTGTTCAACAAAAATGACTTAAGATAATAAATAAATGTGCTGGAAGAACCATAGACAAAATTGAAGGAAAAAGAGAAAACAAAGGGATAGTAAATATTAATAGCTACCATTTATTAAGTACTTGCTGTGAACCAGACATTGTGCAAGATGCTTAACAAGTATTGTTACCTGATTCAACTCGTACATCAACCCTATGAAGCAGGCGCTATTTTGATGCTTATTTTATTATTAAAGAAACAGAAGCTTAGAAAACTTAATTGTCTCACATGATACATATCTGGCTTCAGCATTCATGATAATGATAGATAATTAATATACAAATATTTATTGAGTAAATTGCATAGTACAGTGCAAAGAGCAGAGGCTTTGGAACTAGAAAAACTTAAGTGTGAATATAGGCTCATCACTTTCTATCTGGGTACCTTCAGCAAGCTGCTGAATCATAGTTTCCACATATATAAAATGGGGATTAAATACTGTCCTTAATGTTAGATAATGTACACAAAATACTTGGTAAAAAATTAGTATTAAATGTTAGTTTACTTCCTTCCTAGCCCCTCTACGGAATATTGTGTACCAGAAATACAAAAGGAATTACACCATCTAGATTCTCAAAGATCTTACTATCCAGTTGGTGTGAGAAGACTATTAAATATAACTGAAATTAAAGAGAATATGAGACCAAACACTAAATACTATATACAGCTCTGTGGTACAGATTATAAATTCAGAAGAAGATGCATGATAACTGGAGTGGATAAGAGAAGGCTTCACGAAGGAAGAGAAATGTGAAGAGATTCTTAGAGGTAAGTTAAGATGGAGAGTGACAGAAAGGCGATTTCTCCTCTCCCCACCTACAAGCGCAGAAGCATATATTAGTAAAATCATGAAGCTGTCCCCTTAATTAAAGAGGGTGGATGTGGATTATGGAAGACTTTGATGGCCAGATTGTGGAGCTGAGATTTGATAAAGTGGGAAGTATGGAGCTAATAACAGTTTGGGGTCAGGGAAAGGACAGAATGAGGATTGATAATAAATCTTATCTTTTTCATGAGAATATTATGGATTCATTTTTTTTTCCTAAGAAGAAAAGTATTGCCTCTCCAAAATGTTATTCAAACATATTTTTAATTTATATAAAAGGAAACTAAAGCAAAAAGAAAACAGGCCTTTTGCCTCTCTTCATGCTGTAAAATAATCATCAAGAAAGAAGCAGTACCCAAGGCCTCTAATTGCGGCCCATAAAACTTTTTGTTTTACTAAATAATATCGCATCTACATACTGGTCAAAACCGGTCAACCTTGGCTTATTTATAACTCATCATATCAACTGTTGTTTATGGACAGAATATTTGATGACATATTTTAATAAACAAGTGCCATTATAAACTTGACCCCATGTATAAGGTCAAGCACTCTCAAGGAAACACAGTGAAGAACTCCATACAAAGATGCAAATTATAATTTCATAATCCTAAGACAAAACTGTCTCATCCTTCCAATGTATCTTTAAAAATGCCCACTATAGGTATTTTTATATCCTTACCCTTTTACAGCTCATTACAAAGGAACTATCAATCAGTTCTATAGCATTCTTAAAACATTTTAAATGAGCCAATGTGGTTTCTTATTACACCCCAGTCTTCTCCCATTACTCCCTTTATTTCAGGCTCTAAAACTGGGGCATTATTGTCGAACCATATGCTTCATGCCATGCTGGGGATTATATAACTTTTTGTTTTTATCAAAATGGTACCCTTTTGGCTTAAGCTACATCAGGCTTTTTCTAAATTTACAATTCTAAAAAAATTACTTATAAAACAGAAGCAAAACTAGTGGGCCCAATTAAATAGAAAAATACTTTAAAAATGATAAGATTCTTTCTAGTGTTATTTTTTTTTTTACCACTTTACGTTTGATAGATTTATAATAAAAGTGAATTATATCCTTCCATAACTAAGTTGGTATGGAAAGTGAGAGAAAAAACAGACACTGCTAGACTCAGAAATGCACTGTGTTTTCTCATAGCTAGTGCCTCAATTTCCAAAATACACAACAAACATGCTCATGAAATTTGAGAGATGAAAAAAAGTCAGATCCTTCTGAATTCACAGTCTAGGACTTGGAAGATCTGGGGTAATAGATCTTTGGTCACCAGGGCACTTTTGTCCTTTTTACTTCTTATAAATCACTAAGATTATTAAATATAATTAAAACTTGACAGGAGTATTACTGCTACCCTGAGTATTTAAAAGTTTTTCAGAAATGTGGGTATGTAAATTTAAAGTAGAGTATAATCTCTCAAGGAATTCCAGTATTATTTTAAAAACAAACCAAAAAAAGTGGCAAAAGACTGGAGATTCTTAGGGTTTAGAGCCTCTAAAAGGCCGCCAAATATTCGTGTGCAAATTTTAGGACAATTATTTTTAACAGGTGAAAGCGTTTAAGTGGATTAGCGTTTTTAACCGTTTCCTCCACAGCGATTTAATTTTACATTGATTTAGTTCATATTTCAGAGGCAGTCATGGTCAATTTTTAATTTTATTGTAATTATTATTAAAAAACAGCTCCCCACATGAAGGAACTGTTACTTTTCTACGCGTTTGTGAATTCCTGAGGAAGTGGGCTGTGTGCATTCAGGTCAACTGTTACAGGCTAAAAGAAATCTATTCTTTCCTTATTGTCAAACACAGCATTAGTATCTCTTCTAGAGTCAAGGTTACAACACACACACCCACACACACTAGATCTGCATCTGTCGCTATCGATAAGCAAAGGCAGTTGCACAACAGAACCCTATGAAATCCACCAATTTTTATTCCGCCACTTCCAGCCCAAATGTCAGAAACAGCATCTCCTGCAATAAATGTAACGAAGCGATTTTCACAAGTGGGAGACTCTCGTTTCCTGTCCCCCTACACAGAGCCCCCTACACTGAGCTGCCCCACTGGGCTGGGGCGGCGGGGTAAGGAAGGCCTGACACCGAGCAGGGGGCGGTGGTCAAGAAGTGGCTCGCTCACCGCCGTGGATCCTTTCTTCACCGCTTCCTGGGCATATTCCACTTGAAAAAGGTGTCCGTCTGGGGAGAACACAGTGATTGCCCGGTCATACCGAGACGCCATGGCGCAAGGCTACGGCAATTCCCGCTGTGTGTCCAACGCTGCCGCAGCGGATGCCGTCTGAGGCGTCCCTTCTGCCACCACGTGCTCCCCGGAAGTGCTCCTCCTGGCACCACATGCTCCCCGGAAGTGTTTGCGCACGTTCCTCGAGATGCCGCCCGGAAGTGCTAGCGCACGCGTCTCCAGACGCTGCCCAGCTCGGAAGTCCTTGCGTCGCCCGCCCGCCTGTGCCAGGCTGTGCATATGAGTTCTTCTGCTACCTTTAGTGCCTGGCGCATGTGTGCTAATTTTCCCACCACGGTGTTGCCGCAGGGGTCGGGTCAGATCACTCCAGTTATAAAAATTATATTAAAGATTAGGGCTTAACAGTGAGCACTAAAACGGTCAGATATTTTTGTTTTCACAAACCTGTTAGAGAACCAGTGGTAAGTGAAATTTCCATCTCTTCCTTTTGGATTCAATATGTGAATTCTCTCTCTCTCTCTCATGTCATTTTAACTCATGAAAAGAATGTATAATTTTGAAAATAGTGTTATTTCTTCCAGTTTCTGCCTTGTGACCAAAAGAGAGCAAATGAGCAAATAGTCCATTAAATAGAGCAAAGTCCATCAAGCTAATGCTAATGGGAGGGATTAAGATAAAACTATTTTAATCAAAGAAATTTTTTAAAAGCCCAAAGTATGCAGCTTAAAAGAAATCTGGAGGTGCGGGCCAGGTAGTGTAGTGGTTAAGTTTCCCGCTCTGCTTGGGTGGCAGGGGTTCATGGGTTCACCCATGGTTCAGATCCCCCGCAGACCTATACCTGCTCATCAAGCCATCCTGTGGCAGTGTCCCACATACAAAGTAGACGCATACTGGCACAGGTGTTAGCTCAGGGACCATCTTCCTCAAGCAAAAAGAGGAAGATTGGCAACAGATGTTAGCTCAGGCCAATCTTCCTCAGCAAAAGAAAGAAAGAAAGAAATCTGCAAATTTAACTATAGTAGAAAGTTTATATAACCTGGTACAACATTAATACCTGTGAAACAACTCTTGTCTCTTTGTCCTCATCAGTAAAGTGGGACTATTTAAAAATCGGTAGGGGGCCGGCCCCGTGGCTTGGTAGTTAAGTGCGTGCGCTCTGATGCTGGTGGCCCGGGTTCGGATCCCGGGTGCGCACCGAGGCACTACTTCTCCGTCCATCCTGAGGCCGAGTCCCACATACAGCAACTAGAAGGATGTGCAGCTATGACATACAACTATCTACTGGGGCTTTGGGGGGGATAATAAATAAAATAAAATCTTAAAAAAAAAAAAATCTGTAGGAAAGTGTTGTTCTGAGGTTTAAATGTGTTTATAGGCATAAATAACTTAAAATGGTGCCTAGGGGGTAGCACTACCCAGCTAAGTTTAAACTATTACTATCTTCCATGTATTTTTTAATATATGTTGTTTTCCATTGAGGAGGATCTTGAGCCTGATGAAAAAACCTTAACTAAAAAAAGAAAAAAGAATAATTACCCACAAATAGGAAAACTCAATACCCTCAATTCCAAATACTTAATTCCAAATTTTAGTTGACTGCTAAAAGCAATTTGTGTTTAGCTGTCATCTTTTTTCTTTAATATTAGAAACTCTTGAAAAGTTTGGTTCTATTGAGAAAAACAGTAATTCCTAACCCAAACAACTCTCTCTAACTTTCCAAGTTTCTGAAATTTTACAATGTTATGATAAACCAACATTTGCAAGAAGCTGTTATTTAAGAAGTGTTTTATTGTTCTTGTTAAATAATCATCATTTTTTCCTTTCTCTTTTGAAATAATTATACATCACAGGAAATTTCAAAAATAGTGCAGAGAGGTCCCCTGTACCCTTCACCCAGTTTCCCTCAATGGTAATGTCTTACATAGCTATAGTACAGTAGCAAAACTAGGAAAATGACATTGGTACAATCCACAGAGCTTGTTCAGATTTTACCAGTTTTACATGTACTCATTTGGGTACATGTGTCTAGTTCTGTGCAAGTTATCATGTATAGATTAGTATACCCACTCCTACAATCAAGATACAGAACTGTTCCATGACCACAAAGATCCCTGGTGCTGCTCACTTATAGTCATACCCATCTCTCCTCCCCTCCCAACCCCCAGAGACCACTAACCTGTTCTCCATCTCTATAATTTTGTCATTTAAAAATGTTTATATAAATGGAAGCATTCAGTATGTAACTTTTTATTTTAAAATAATTATAGATTCACAGGAAGTTACAATGATAGTACAGTGGTCCCCATATCCTTCACAGAGTTTACCCGATGTGTTACATCTTATATAACTATAGTACAGTGTCAGAACCAGGAAATTGACAGTGGTAGAAAATATGTGTATAGCTTTGATTGAAAAGCACTTTAAAAGTGTTATGATGTATTATAGCATATACTTCAGAAATATGATAGCATTAAAATGTTGACAAGGATTAATTAACACATTCAAGATTCACTATAACTTAACAGTGTGGCTTTGGGTAGGTATATTTCACTTCACTAAACCCCAGTTTCCTGACCTGTAAAATGAGAATAATAATAACTACTTCACAAGGTTATTGTGAAGGGCAAATGAAATAAAGTATTAGTGCACATAGGGCAGTGTTTGACACAGATAAGCACTTGAAAAGTGGTAACTGTTGTTATCAATCATTGAGTTAACTAAAAAGTTGATTAGTCTGTAAGAGAAATTAAGAAGAGTAAAAATGTAGCATGAACCCATTTATATATTTTTAAATGTATATATGTACAAATATATGTTTCTAAATCTGTAGAGAAAGTAGAGTGAAAGGACATACACCAAGTTGACAAAAGTGATTCTCTTTGCAGGAGGCCAGAGATTGGAAAGAGAATAGGGAGACATGGTAAGGAGAGAAAAGTTACTGTTTTAAACTTTACATCTATATTATTTAATTTTTTTTATATTATTTAAAAATTTTTACAGCAAGCATAGTTTGTCTTTATACTTAATAAAAACAACATCAAGAAACAGTTTAATGCCTAGGGGCTCCCAGCAATGACAGTCTTGATGGTTGAGCCAAATCTCCTATTGAGAACAACTAGAAATACTGGATAAAATATTTAAAAATATATCTATATATGCTGACTCCAAATAGCCAACAGGGAAGAGGATTTGTGGTGCCGTGATACAGAAGAGGAGGAAAACTTGTAGGGGTAAGCCTAGCATTTTCCCTTTGAGGTATTTGCCTATTTCCAATGCCTAGATGAGAAGTGAAGCAGACCACTGATAGAGAAAAATTGGAGTTCAAAGCCTATCAAGGTACATGGGTCACAGTAGACATCTAGGCTTTTGTTTGGGACCCAGTGGGCCACAACCCAGAAGTAAGAGTGAACCAAAAATAGACCTGTTCTCACAGGGACTAACGCCAAGTATTGAATCACCTCAATCCATGATTGGAATAAAGCAGTGTTTCTCAAACTGTGGTCCACAGATCTTTGGAGGTACCCAAAAACATTTCAATGGATTCACATGTCAAAACTATAGTGATAATATTAAAACAGTATTTGCCCTTTCACTGTATAGATATTTACATTGACAGTGCCAAAGAAATGGGTACAACTGCTGGAGCCTGAGCATGAATCAAGGCAGTAGCACCAAACTGTACTAGTACACATTGTGTTCCTTACCACTAAGCACCCATGAAAACAAATGCCAGTTTCATTTTAGAATGTCATTGAATAAGCAGTAAATTATTAGTTTTATTAAATCTTGACTCTTGAGTACTTATCTTTTTAATATTCAGAATGACAAAATGGAAAGTACACATAAGGTACTTTGGCTGCCTTCAAAGTAAGATAGCTTGAGAAAAAGCACTTTTGTAAATCTTTGAGTTGCTGGCTGAACCAGCCCCTTTCTCATGGAACATGATTTATACTTGAAAGAATGACTGACACACTGTGGTTATTCAGAGTTAGATATTTGGGCAGACATTTCTTGAAAATGAACAAAATGAGCCTGTCACTTCAAGAAAAACAACAGACAGTATGTGTTTCCAAAGATAAAATTCGAGCTTTTAAGGAAAAATTAGAATTTTGGAAGACTTGTATCCTTACCATGATCTTGAAAGCTCCATAATTAAAGATTTTACTGATGAGATTGGTGGTGATATTAAAATGTGATTTTTTGGAAGATATGCATAACTCAGTGAACCAGCATTTTCCAGTGACTAAAGCATGATACACAATCATGCATAAATAAAAGAGATTCAAATTGCTACATAGACAATGGATTTTAATGTAGCAGTACTAAATGTTCATTGATATGATTTTCAACTAACGTTAAGAAACTACCACCGTTTGAGTATTGGTCTAGTAACAGAGAATATCCAATGATTGAAATCACTAAATGATTGATCTGAAGTGATCTAAAAAGGCTATAAAAATACTCCTCCATTTTCCAATACAAATCTTGTAAGGTTTTTCCCCCCAGTATTTCAACCAAAATAACATATTGTAGCAGTTTGAATGTAGAAGCAGATATGGAAATCCAGCTGTATTCTATTAAGTGAGACATTAAAGAGATTTACAATCTCATTCTTACTAATTTTTTTAAATTTTGGAAAATGTAGGTTTTTAAATAGAAATATATGAAATGTGTCAGTATGTAATGAGTTTATTTTTAAAATGCATTAAGTAAAGTGTTTTACTCTTAATTTCTAATATGATAAATATTGATAGATACAACGCACATAAACAAAAGCTCTTTGAGGTCTTCAGTAATTTTTAGGAGGGTAAAGTGTTCCTAAGGCCAAAAATTTGGAAGCACTGGGATAAAGCATTGCTGGTGCCCCTAGATGATTAGTTGCCTTCCAGAAGCAAAAATAAATTCTCTGTAGAGGAGGATAATATCATGCAGAACCAAATAATTGTTGCAGTTTCTCATATGTAATATCCTGTGCTCAATCAAAAATAACCACGCACACAAAAGAAATGGTGTGACCAAATTACAAGAGAAACAACAGACAACAGGCTAATATAAGATGCAGATAATGAAGTATCAGATGCTGATTTTTAAAACAAACAAGATAATTATAGTCAAGGGATTAAAGACA